TTTTTCCATCTAAAGGTGGAGATTTTTGCTATGAAGATTGGTATTCATACGAAATACCAATATGAAAGATATTCGTTGAATATGAAAGATACAAAAATTGGTTGATGCTTATTACTAATATCCTCTGTTGGATATACAAATTGCATTTGTCACAGTGCTCCATGGTAGCAGAAGACAGAGGAAGCGAAGCCTCTGGCTTCCATACATACATCCATGCATAAAACTGCCCAGGATAAACCTCAAGGGGCATTACCATCACTGCTGGCATGTTCTGATGGAGTCTCAAAACTGTGGAACCATACTTCATGGCTGTTTGCAGCTCTGCTGTTATCTCAACACACTGATCTTTTAGCATTAGTCTTCTGATGTGACTTGGTGAATCCTCATCTATTTAAACTCCAGAGTTCTGGCCCCAGGTGTAGCCAGAGAACTGGAGTAACAGAACGCTTTTGGTTTTGTACCACAGAAATTATACTGTTTTTCCTTCAGGTAGCCTTTACTTTCCTATCACTCCACATTATTCATTTTTGTGCAAGAGCACACAAAAAGACATTATTTTCAGTGCTTACTATACACCTAATTGTGTTGATAACAAATTTTTATCATGTGCATACTTGGGATTTTATATTTTAGTTCTGTTCTGTGAGTAAGTGGTATGTAAGAACAGGCAGAGAGTGTAACAGGCAGTAATACTGACCAACATGGTACAATAAAGCTGTCTGGGGATCTTGTAGCCACTCCTTCTGCACAAGATACTGACCTCAGCTAAGACATCTGCATGTAGTCACTTTTTTACTGTAACTGAATCACTCCAAAAATAATTGTTTCCACTAATGATCTGAATTTCCTGGTTCTTGCCCCTCTGCCTGAAGGCTAGTAAATATATTAGATTTTGCACACAAAAAAAATGGTAACTCTTGAAGGGGGAGAGGTCACTAAGAACGAGAATGTATCTCTGGTGGAAGTCACATGCACTCGTAGTCAAGACTTGGACCCATAGAGTCTTCTTTGCTTGGACATATTCCTGTGAAAATATCTTTACTCCACCCTGAAAAAAAGCTTCTATTTTCATCGCCAGTGGTTATATCCCCTTGGAATTGTGACATTAAGGGATTTTTGTTTTCTCTATTTGAAATGGCTGTGACTTCTGTGGTATGCGTGAAAGGGAAGGCAGGTTAAATAAAGTCCTTAATGTGCTTAACGTGTGCTTAATGTCATCGTGTTGCAAGAGGTAGATCCAGAGGTAGCTGAAATAAAATAATCTTATTATTTCTCAAATTCTAGTTCAATTTTTTTATATGAAATTTTACAATTCCTTTTCAACCATTTTTTTCCATTCAGTTTGGCCAAAATAGCACTAAATGCTGTGTTCTGTTTCTGAATTGTCAGGCCATTCTGTGTGTGCTCAAAATTTCTATCAGAAAGACTCAGGAAAATATAATTTCTTTGCTGGTTAGTAGCATTATTCATTGGCAACTCTTCTTTAAATGTTGAGGCAGTTTCTAGTTTATGAATTTCCTTCTGTACTCATCATTTATGGTTTCTCAGGTTGGTGGTGGGGAGGAAATGACCATGCTCTGAGTTTTAGATGTACTCAGCACCTGTAAGTTTGGAGGTAACGGAAGTTTAGAAATCATGGTGCATAAGAAAGTTGGGCTGTGGATTTTTTTTGCTGGGTTTTTTAACAGTAGTGTTCTGTTTTTGACTGAGAATGCTCTTGCTGTCAGCCAGTCATCTGTGTCAATGAAAGATGCAGTTTAAGCAGTCTCGCGGCGTGCTGCTATAAACAGCAAGGCCATGTGCATGCAGTGCTGTTTGGTATGCCTGAGCTGTCTTTCAGCTCTGCAGTTTTTCTTCTTCATACTTTGTCAACCACTGAATAGAGAAGGGTAACCAATTTTCCAGCCCACCTTTGTCCTAATGGGAGTAAGAAAACTAATGTATGTGGGCTTTCCCATATCAGTATCAAAGAGAGACACTTTTGTTGAGGAAGGCCAGAGAGTAGTGCTGAAGTTCCTCAGATCAGGCCCTACTAAATATACTGAAGTTCCAGAAGTACTTGGTTTGTGTTGTGATTTTTAGAGTGTAGGCTGGTTGTTTTAGGTTGGGTGATAGGTATCTGTATCGTATATACAAAACACTGAGATAAAGGCACACACTTTATTGCATTGTAGCCTTGGATTTTGTCTGGATCAGTGATGTCCAGTAAGGATGATCAAGGTATGGCTCTGTTCCCACTACCCCATTCCATGAGCTGTTTCATCTATTTGAAAGTATGACTCCTACTGCATAACTACATGTGCAAAAATTAATCTTTTTAGCTTCAGTCTAGGTACCATCATAAAAATATATAACTCACGCCCCCAAGAAAGGGTTGTTTTTCAGTTACTGAGTGGAATGAGATCATATGATACAAAAAAGCTGCAGCACTTGAAAATATCTTTGGTTCCAGTAGAAGATTCCTGACTTGTGTCCGCATATTCAGCCTGGAGTGCATATTTAGTATGAGTGTCCATAGTCTCTCCTAAGGTTAAAGTGTCAAGTTAACACTAGCATGGGTTCTGAGTGCCATTTCAAAGCCCAATAGTATATGGACTCTGTATATGATTGAAAACATTTTGTTTCAGAGAAAATCCAGATTTACTTTCTTAGGAATCAGTTTTAAAAGTGAAAAGTCTTTGAGGAATTTCTGCATGTTTTAGTAAGCCTTCCAAGTATGCTGTAGTTTCCATCACTGGGAATCCATTGGTTCTTGATAATCAACTTTTCTAAAACTGAAATACATTTTATAAATGTACAGGAAGCAGAATATAAATAGTAGGTGTTGCAGAGTTAGGTGTTTGTGAGTTGCTATCAGAACTAGTCACTGATACTGTCCTGTAAAATACATTTTTGGCTTGGAGGCAATCCAGTGTGGAGCAATGAGATGAAACTGATTAAGCTGTATTATTTTAAGTCCATAGATGAGATTCTGAAGACATGCTGCTGACAGAAAGAATTGTAGCTGGTATTTTTTTCACCACTGACAAGCAACTCAGTACATAACAAAAATAGCAATCTGTGGGCAAATAGGGAAATCAGCCAAAATAGTTTTATACGAAGAGGGATAACAAAAGATCTGCTTCCAAGAAAAGTAGCTATGCCAAATTGTGACACACAAATAACAGAAAGAATTATTGAAAAGAAGAGGATATTAGTTTGCTTCTGGAGAAGTACATTAAAACTTGGGTTTAAAAGATAGTAAGATGGATCTGTGTTGGAAGTTATTTTTTTTAAAAAGGCAAGTATCTGACTGGCATATTCCTGTTTCTAAAAATATTTGTGCTGGA